ATATAGTAGTGAGGATTTTCCTTTGTAAATATTTCTAACAAGCAATGGCTTTAGAGCAATACAGATTTTCACATAGACTGTAAAAGCTTTTGTTTATTGCAGATCTTGTATAAGTCACCAGTGGTCTATATCTGTAGTATTACAAAGCCAATAAACACATAAGCTCCAGCACTGTTGTTGGTTGTAGTCTAGTAATATATTACATAACAGATAAATATTTTAGAGGCAGTCATATGTTTTTAATGATGCTGGTCATTACAGGGTATTATCACTTTAGGCTGTGAACTGTAAATCTTTTACTTACAGGGCCATCTGCGAGAGGGCAAGTGCCACCTGTTGCTTGGGAATGCTATGGCTGCCAGCCGCTGTTTCCAGAGAGTTCTAGAGCTGGAGTCAGACAACAGCCAGGCCCAGCAGGAGGTGAGTTGGCCTCAGTTGCAGAGAGCATGACCTAACAACTTGGACATGATTATCCACTATTAAATTGGCTTTGGCCAAGCCAGTAAAAATGACGAGCAAAAAAAGGTTTGAATGGAAATCCAGTAGTAGTAGTTCACAATCACTTGTACTTATTCTGACCTGGATTTAATAATCATAGCACTCAAGAGACTAGCAGTTTCTGAGAAGCACTGAAGTTCTTCCTCATGGTTACTGAATATCATAAATTCCTTTGGCAGGTGAAGAATGCAGAATCTATCCTTGAATATGAGAGAATGGCAGAGATTGGATTTGAGAAGAGAGATTTCAGGATGGTAAGCTACTCATTAGATACAGTTTTAGTTGTTTTTTTGTTTTGTGTGTGTGTGTGTGTGTGTGTGTGTGTGTGTTATTTGTGAGGTGTATTATGTCATAAATACCTGCCAAGTCAAGCATCACATACTGCAGGTATCTGCTTGTGTTTAGGTTGTCTTTTGCATGGACCGTGCCTTGGATTCTGCCTCCGCTTGTCACAAGTTCAAGATACTAAAAGCAGAGTGTTTAGCCCTGCTGGGGCGATACCCCGAGGCTCAGTCTGTAGCCAGGTAAGAATGCACACTTGAAAAGATTTATTTATTTTTTGACATCATTGTCAAAGGGATATAATGGGGGGAAAGTCACTGAGGTATGTAGTTGCCCTAACATGAAGTACAACAAAACAGTATGCCTTTCTCAGACAGGGCCACTGAAATGTGCAAGCAGTGATTTCCATGCAGGTTGAAGAACTGCCAGGATGAAAAATCACAGCTGGACAGGGCACGGATCCTTAAATTTAATCACTCCAGTTTGCCTTGAACATGAAGATTCCTTGTTGTGTTTATGTGTAGTGCTTACTATATGTTCTGAATAGTGGGAACAGCGATTGTCATGATTTGACTCTTCTGATCTTTACTAGGTTGTCTGTAATACATTAAACAGTTGAGTTTTCAGAAATGAACTTCTCCTTTGAAGATGGTGTAACAGTACATTTTAATGTGATTTACTCTTTTTAATTGCACTTTGCCTGTAATTATCTGTTTTTATCCAGTGATATTCTTCGAATGGACTCCACTAACGCGGACGCTCTGTACGTGCGTGGTCTTTGTCTGTACTATGAGGACTGCATTGATAAGGCTGTGCAGTTCTTTGTCCAGGCCCTGCGTATGGCTCCTGACCACGACAAGGCTCGGCTTGCGTGCAGAGTGAGTAACTCAGTAGCTAACAGTTGCACTGCTTTAAATTTAGCAAGGGGAAAAAAAAATCTCCTTCACCAGTCTGCTTGAGGTTTCAGTTAGCTCAGAGGAGCTTTTAAAGCTGCATATGAATTTTCTACCCAGAATGCCAAAGCGCTAAAAGCCAAGAAGGAGGAAGGAAACAAGGCATTCAAGGAGGGAAACTATGAGGCAGCATGTGAGCTGTACTCTGAGGCACTAACAATAGACCCTAATAACATCAAGACAAATGCCAAGCTGTACTGTAATAGAGCTACAGTCGGATCAAAGGTAAGACATAAAATTCGTTTCATTAAAATATGTCAATTGTAGGCATACAGACACCACAGGTCACTACCTTTTCCTATCTCTTTGCCTCACATGTTCACATTTTCTTTTTCTTTGAAAGCTCAAGAAACTAGAACAGGCCATTGAAGACTGCACGAAGGCCATCAAACTGGATGAGACCTACATCAAGGCCTATTTAAGGAGAGCACAGTGGTATGCCGAAGATTTTACTTTGTTGTTAGTAGACAGACCAACTTGTATGTCATTTGGTTTCTTTAAGCAGAAGCTTCACTTTTGTACCGACACTTTTGTATTTTATAGTTCAAATTGAGTAATGAATTGACTGAAAGACTTGTGCTTGGTGTCCTGCAGCTACATGGACACGGAGCAGTACGAAGAGGCAGTGCGGGACTATGAAAAGGTTTACCAGACAGAGAAGACAAAAGGTGGGGGCAGAGCAGATATTACCACCTCCTTTTCCACATATTGGCACCTTTAGACTAGTATTAAGTTGCCACTTTAGAGACATTACATAACTGTTTTTAATGCAATGCTTACTAATCTACATGCTGTGTGTTTTTGACTTTATTACCTAGAACACAAGCAACTCCTGAAGAATTCCCAGCTGGAACTGAAGAAAAGCAAACGGAAAGATTACTACAAAATCCTCGGGGTGGATAAGAACGCAACAGAAGAGGAGATCAAGAAAGCTTACCGCAAACGGGCACTTTTACATCACCCAGGTGCTTGATTGCTACGTAAAAAGAGAACTAAACATCACGTCAATGAAGAGTCCTGAATTGTAGGGGGAAGTTTTTCTGCAGCAAATATGGCCATATAATTTCCAGTGAAAAGATATTTTAAAACATTATTTTAGGGAACTGTTGTTTTTTTTTTTTAATCTTATCTTTATTCAGACATTTGAAATGAAAATCAGTTTAGATAATCCTTCAAAATAACTGCCTAAATAAGTGACATGGGTGATTTTTGGTATGGCAGCTGAGCTGTGAGATTTGCTTCTAGAAGGACTTTGAGTTAAATTACCAAATATAATACTGCTTTCATTTTCCCCCCTCCCTTTAGACCGTCACAGTGGAGCTAGTGCTGAGGTACAGAAGGAAGAGGAAAAGAAGTTTAAGGAAGTGGGCGAAGCTTTCAGCGTGCTTTCTGACGCAAAGAAAAAGTCTCGCTACGACACCGGACAGGATCTAGAGGATGACGGCATGAACATGGGAGGTGAGCATATGGGTCGGCTTCAGTGTGTGAGGTCTCAAGGATGATCAGATTGAAATGATACGAGAAAATTCAGCCAGATAGTTCTGTGTTCATGTCGCTTCTTGTGTTTTCTTTCTTTCCAGATTTTGATGCCAACAACATTTTCAAGGCATTCTTTGGAGGTCCAGGGGGTTTTAGTTTCGAAGGTAACATATGTTCTGTTTGAAAGTAAAAATCTGTCCCTCTGCCAGCCATTTGGAAGGAGTCCCACAATCTGAGAATATCCTAAATGCGCTAATGGTTTTGTTTTTATTATTTTCAGCATCTGGACCTGGAAATTTCTTCTTCCAGTTTGGTTAATTGGAAGAGTCGACTACCTAAACAGTTACTACATCAGGACTTTCCAACAATGTCAACCCCACAACCCATCATCTGTATTTAATAACTGACTGATTTGCAAGTCAGTTTCCTGTATATGCCATTGACTGAATGAATGCAACCCAATGCAGCAAATGCCCATCTAGCAAAGGACGCCAAGTTGGCTCAAAATGAGTTGGTAGTTTTACTGGTTTTGGATTTAGTTTTCTTCCTTCCAGAATTAAACAAACTTGAAAGTCGGTAATGGCTAACAACACTGGTCCAAATAGTCTGGATTTTTCAAATAGGAAAGATTGCACAGCTATTATATTAGAGCTTTTAGGGATCCATGCAGGAAGTGCCATCCTGGGGAAAACTCTCGAGCAAGCTATTATCCTGCTCATCTCAACTTACTGCTGAGGGGGGGTATTCTCTGCATGACAGTTAATAACTTGCTCAGTGATTTGTGATGGAAATCACTGAGCAAGTTGCACCATCCCCGTTTTTTTTGACGAATCTGTCACACAGACAGTTGGCTGCTACGAATTCGCACTGAAAACTGCCTCCTTGTCATAAGCCTTTGGGAGCACTCAATCTTCTTTTTTAAGTTGACAACAGCTGGAGTCTAGACCTACGCATGTAATTCAGCCGAAGCACACTAGAAAGGCGGCAGAGGAGACGGCCGTGCTGGTTCTGTTGTCAGCAAAGTCTCCGTCCCTTCTGTTGTTTCACATTTGATGTTGCCATTCACAGATTGCTGCATTGTACATTTTACTGGAATGTAAAGTGTTGATTTGTGATAATAGTTGAGTTTCTTTTTTTCCATTTTTTTATCGTCATAATGTATATTTATTGTAAATTTGCTGTCTGATATAAACATCAGCGTAAGATGAAGATGCTCTTCTCCTAAGATTGAAAGAGGCACCCACCATGAACACTACGTTGGGAAAAGAAATAACCAAAAAAACTCAGGAAGATGATTGGTTTGCTAGATCTGCATGGCATTTTAAGCTCAAATAGATTACAGTATACAGTAGAGGTTATTTGACATTGAAGCTGTCTAATTTTATTCAATGCAAGGTGGAGGCATCGAGCAAAAGTGACAACTTTATTGCTCCACATAAAGTGAAATCTGTTTGCTGTTGTCCAAAATGTTCAGGTGCTGTGTGATGATTGAAACGTAGGAATGTTTAATCATTTCCCCATTAGTCCATTGGTGCACTTGAGTATGAAGAGTGTCCTCATTTTGCTCTGATTGTTTTTGCTCTTTATGGTGAGAGTGAGACCATCCACTCTTTTCCCTGGAAAAGTACCAGCCATGACAATAAAGTTGGCCTCCTCTGGGTTTCCCCTAGATTGATATCTTTCTTTTGTTTGGAATCATTAGTTTAGAAGTATTGCATAAAGATACCGTGTGGTTTAACAGATTGTTGTGGGAGTGAGTCCTGCAATCTGGTATCATGCCAAAAAAAGTGATGTCCTGTATTTGCCAGAAAAGAATGATGTATCTCATGAATAGAGCTGCAAACAGTTATTGGGAAAGTGACTTTTATATGTCTTATTTGTTCTAGTAAAATCTCACGGACATTAAAAATGTCTTTTTCAAAAGAGATCTGACCAAGAGGGCAGCAGAAATTAAAACTTTAAAAATATTTTAAGTTGCCAAAAATGGAGTGAGTAAAATGTGAACCACAGAGTGGGGAAAATATCACAGTCATAAAGAGGCTTCTAAAATAGGTTTATATCTTTGTTTTATTTCGGAATTTTAAGAAAAAAGTAGCGTGGAGGTCGGTGTACTGCAGGAAATGAGCAGCAGAGGGCGCTGCTTCCTCGCGATTCGTTTGTTGGTGTTGCTAGGATACCAGCTAAACGTGGATCGATGTGTTGGGCTAAAGTTTATACGAGTTAAACTGGCTTCAAGTTGACGGAAAGAAAGTTTAAAAGTGGCCAAAAATGGCAAACATCGACGCAGACCTCGAAGACCAGCAATCTAAGGGCGTATTCGCAACTTTAATGGCCGATGGGAAATGGATGTACCAGGCAGGAGAGTATAAAAAAGCTATAGACAGCTTCACAGAGGTAAGTGTTAAGTGTCGTCGTTACCTTTTCTCTGATTTTTTTTTAAGCACTCTAGAAATGGCTCACTTCTTTTCTTTGTTTAGGCACTGGCTTTAAAGCCTAGTGACAAACAGTGCTTTGTTGCTCGGTCCAGATGTTACCTGAAGATGGGAGGGTTTGACAACGCTTTGAGAGATGCAGAAGCTTCACTTAAAAGAGACAACTCGTTTTTTGAGGTAAATGTTTTTCTGCTGTCATGATAGAAAATGAGTAAAATGTATCTTTATATCCCCGCTAAAGGTTCAGTGCCTATTGTATACATTTCTTTCGAATCACCATTTTAGGGTTTGTACCTGAAGGCAGAAGCTTTATACTACATGGGAGAATTTGAATTTGCCCTGGTGTTTTACCACAGAGGCCATAAACTACGTCCACAAATGCAGGAGTTCAGACTGGGTATCCAGAAAGCACAGGAGGCCATAGAAAACTCTGTTGGCAGTAAGTGTCTTGATAATAGTGTTGCAATCATCTCACATCTCCTTACCTAAAATATGAGCCGCTTGTTCTTTGCCATCTTTTAGGTCCTTCCAATGTGAAATTGGAGATTAAAGGAGACCTGTCATTTCTCAACATAGGTGGTGAGGTGAGTCTTTGGTGCATATATCTTCAGTAAATAATAATAATTAAAAACAACCCCACTGAGGTAAGTCACAATTATCACAGTACAGCACAAACTCAGTTAAACTTAAGAGACATCATCTTACCAGCTGGGATGCTTAAACCAATGTGAATCGTGCTTTGGTGCATTGGAGAGGTAAGACCAAGGAAACCTCCAAAAGTCTTTGCAGCTGGTAACTAGGATGAAACTAGATGTGTCTCTAGGATGGCACATCTATTCAACGTGCCATTGCAATGATGTTTTCTTTGTCTCCCAACACAGTTACTAGAGTGTGGAGCAGTTTGGTCAGAGCAGCATGAATGATTAGCCTGCTGGAGGTCTTTTTGTAGGGCTGTGGCAGTGCTCCTCCTGTTCCTCCTTGCACCAAGGAAAAAAATACTGGTGCAGCTCTCTTTAACAGCCTTTCTCCTGATACAAGTTCCCTTAATTTTTATTTGAGCAATGTATTTAACATGCAGGCTTAGAGGCAGAGCTGTTCTAATGGTACAAGGGAAATAACAATAAAAATGACAGTATTTGTCATTTAGCCAGGATTCGTTGCAGGAAGGCACTACAGCTCGCTGTATATCAAAACTGCTAGACAATAGAAAGATTTCTTCCCTCTTGCTATGAATCCAATGAACAGTTGTCTTGATGCATGCTTAATCATCCAGGTAGGTAAATCCATGTCTGAAGAAGTCACTTGGATGAACAATGAAACATTTCTCCCACTGAAAGAGACTGAAAATGTTACATAAACAGTTAAATCCATGCACACTTAAATCCTATCACCACCTGTATGTATTCTGTAGAACAAGGCTGAGTCATTGCTTCAATTATGTGTCTTGTCTCAATCCCCCCAAAACCCCTGCAGTTTTCTGTATGCAATGTTTAGCCTGACCTGTCTTCTGATGCACAGTGTTATGTTATGTTTCTGAACTGTTAAGAGGGCCAAACCAATTGCAGCTATCCAGAATCTCACAAAGGAGAAAAAACAGAAGACTGAGAAAACCCCAAAGAGTGAAAAGACAACCAAACAACTTCTGGGCGAGTTTTATAGTGACAAGAAATATCTAGAAAATCTGATGAAAGATGAAGGTAATTTGCTATTTGTTCAAATTTACACACACTGTATGTTTCTATGTATCTAACCGTCACCTAGCATATACTGTTCAAAATGTTTACTTAAAAAAAACAACTATATCTGTTTCATTCTTGTTGAATAATATTAATAGCTGTTATGTAATGATTTGCAGACTTGATAGAAGGTACAACAAAGAGTGGGGAGAAGGTGAAGGACATCATTCAGAGATGTCTGTCTTACCTTGACACTTGCACTGAATTTTGGCACCAGGAGAAGCCTACTTCTGCACAAGAAATGAGGCAGAAGTTCATGCAAGAGAAATGTACAAAGCGCCGTAATAGCGCACTCTCTTCGGGATTTCTGCTGAAAAGCCTGGATGAAATTGACAGAGGCAAGATAGCATTCTGGATAAACATAGACCTTGATTCTCTCTTTTACTTTCAGTTTAAAAATTCTCACTGTCCTCTTTGTCATCCCAGAGTTTATGTCCGGAAATGCAGAAGGCACTCTGAAGAAGGCAGAAGAAGTCATGAAGATGGTGCAGAGGTGGTCTGAGAAAGAGGTTCCTAATAAAAAAGAGGTTTTGGGCACCTTGCACAGTTGCATTGGCAATGCTTTGGTTGACCTGGGAAACATGGACAAAGCATTGGAGCATCATCAGAAAGACCTGGAGTTGGCCAAACAGTGGTGAGAAGAAAGGCAGAATAGGAGTAAAACTACATATTTGGACGAGAGATTAAATCCACCACACAAACTTCTTCATAGACCAGAACCAGTTCTATAGAACATATTACTATTGACCGTCAGCAGCTTCACTGGCTTCTTGTAAAGTATTGCATTCATTTTAAGATTTAGCTTCTTACTTTCAAGTCTCTCCATAATCTCGCACAACCTTATCTCTCTGGTCTTCTGCACATTGCTACTCCTTGCTATACCTTGAGATCCTCCTCCTCTTTTTCTTTCATTATACCACCTACTCGTCTGACTACCATGGATTTTAGAGCTTTCAGCCGAGTGGACCTCTCATCTTTAGAAATCTCTCCTGTAGCACACTCACAATATTGATTTTCTTCCTATTATTAAAACCAGCATTAAAATCCATCCTTTTAAGCTCGCTAATTCTCTTTGATTCTGTAGTATTGAATTTTTTATTCTACAATTTTTCCATTTTTTATACATACAGTTATGTGTCCCTGAGTGTCTTGAAAGGTTCCTATAAATATTTTTTAATCACTATTATTATTATTATTAAACATTAAGAAAATTTTTTTTTTACCTACAGCAAGCTCCCAGGAGCACTGTCCAGAGCTCTGGACAACATTGGCCAAGTCTATGTTCGAAATGAAGAGTTTGCAGAGGCCATTCAAGTGTAAGTAAATAATCAAATAATACCTGCACTTGAATTCATCCAAAAACTATGTTTATTTCTGACACATTTATTTAATCCTTTTTATTCCATTTTGTTTATAAGCTGGGAAAAGAAGCTTCCGCTGGTTTGCAGTGATTTGGAGAAGACATGGTTGTTACATGAGATCGGTTTGTGTTACCTGAAGCTCGATCACCACGAAGAAGCTCGAGATTATGGCGTCCGTTCAGTAGCTGCTGCTGATGGAATCGCCGATAAGAAGTGGCAGTTGAATGCCAATGTTTTGGTTGCACAGTCAGAATGTAATTGGTTATTTATTTATGATGCATCACTTTATATTAACAAAACAGAGACACGCAACTTTAATACTTTACTTCTTAAACCACAGTGTGTTTGAATCAGTCATACTGTTGCACAGTTCTTTACCCTGATCCCAGTTTACTCTTTTATATCAGTGAAGCTTGGAAACTATGAATCTTGTGTCACCCACTTTGAAAGAGCTTTGTCCTATGCCAAACTTCTAGAAGACGATTCTGCCATGGATGCTATTGAGAAGGTTCGTGCTTCTTTGTTGTATACATTCTTTTGTTTTCCTTTTCACTTAAGTTAAAAAAAAATTTCAGTCCTGACATTTCTCATTTGTTTTCAGGCCCTTCATGAAGCAAAGCAACACCTAACACCATGAGGAACCCCTTCAGTCAGAATGGATGAGGAAAAGAAGAAGAAAGACTTGTTTAGTGTTCAACTCATTTTGTGTGTGTGTGTGTGTGTGTGTGTGTGTGTGCGTGCGTGCGTGTGTGTGTGTGCGTTCATTTACACACCTATATGGAACACAGCAATAAAGCAGTAACTTAATCAAATGAGAGGATCATATTCAGAGTAGTAAAATATATCCGTTTTATGAACAGTGATTCATTGTGTTTCTCATAGGAATAAAAGTGTTTATGGGAGATGCTTAAAACTTGAATTTCGGATGTTCAGAAGAACAATGCATACCGACATTTTCTGTAGCATTTTTACAAAAGCTATCATTCTTAAAGCTTATGCAGAATTACAGTAGTTCTGAAAAACTCTTCTTTTTTTAAAAAATGAATATATTCAGGTACAGTCATGATGTAATTGGTGAGCCCATATTTTTGTTCTGTGCAAGTTCCATGACAAACTGAAATGTTATCTGGAAAATGTGTCACTTGATATACAAAGTTCTGTTTACTGATATAAATACTGAAACCTGGCAACCATTAAGTCCCATTAATCAGTATTACCTTAGAGCTTCCATATATAGAGATTAACTTATTATAGAGAACTTCCTTATTTCACCTTCCTAGTACCCCTATTACAAGGCGTGCACTGTGTGATTTGCAAACAGATGACTGCTTCTTGCAAATTTCCCATTTATAGAAGCACAGCCTGCTTACAGTTCATAGTTTCTTCACAGAACCTTTATTTTACTGAAGTTTTAATAAGATGTTTTTCCATTAAAGAGAAGTTGTGTTACTGTCACGTACCCAAGTGTTTATGCAAACTTTTTTTTTACTGAAACACGATTGTTGTGATATGAGTGACAGTGTGTGTAGTGCCCTTTGAATTTTAACCACATAAAATGTTTGCATAATATTACCTGTATATGCAAACTAAGATATACTAGAAACCTGTTTGCCTTTTTAAAATTTGGATATCTGTTTTTTTTCCTCTCTTGACTCTGTGACTCTTGTGTGACTTTTGTTTGGTAGTGGTTGTGACAACGGAAAATTACTTCCCTTTCTTTTACTTATACTGTTGTTGATATCTGTATAATTTAATTTAGTCTGAGGGTAGGTTAAAAGGAGGATATGTTTTATAAACACCTTTATTCGTGATTAGGACAAAAGTATTTGTGCCTGAAAACATAATACTTTGCAAAGTGAGATTCAGCCTTACTGTCAACTTTGCATTGTGTACAGGTTTAAACAATGGCTTTTCCACTGACCCAATGTGAACAAAATATAAGTAAAATGGAACAGAGAGCTGTAACAATATGGATAAGAAACTACAAATGAGGTATCAAATATAAATAGGAATTTCAAGAGATATATTAAAGCCTATATAACTGCTATAGATTAAAACATGTCTACAAGGTTCTAATTGTCATTAATATTTTAACTGCCATTCATTTTATAAAATGGGGAGTATAACTAATTAAACAGCAGATGCTCTATTATGTTAATATCAGCATCTATTAATACTATTTTGTCTGTAGTTTTAGTTCCACTCACGAGCTTCTCCTGAAATCAATGCAAATACACTGGAAAAAAGAAAAATAACCGATAAAATAAAGATTAGATTAAAGGTACAGCTTCCACAAAAGACTTCCGGTCTATAGGGGCGTGTCCTTGACCACGCCCAGATGCGCGTTCCCGGGATTTACTTTTTTTTTTTTTTCCGCCTTCCACCCCTTGAAGAGTGGGGCGGGTACCCGTCTGTGCTCAGGATTGCGTTGTCATTGTATTCAGAGAGAAACGCGTGGTCAGCGGCAGCCACGACCAGCTCCACAGCAGCGACATAACTGGTAAGCGGACGTTTTAGCGAACAAAACTCTTTTGAACTGCTTGCTTCAACGCTTTTGTTTTCCCGAACTACCTTAAAAATAAATTGGCCCAGTAACACGCGTCGACTTGTTTACACCCTGCGTGTTAAAGTTGTCGAGTCGTGGCGCTGCGCCTGCTGATGGTCCAGCTAATTTCTACTGACTGCCAGATTAAATTGGTTTTGTCTGGGCTGCTAACGGTAGGTGCACGCCACTCCCCGCCTAGCCACAATGTGCTGATAGTAAAATGCAGGCTAATCGCCAAACGCCCATCGATTTCCTTTGTTTAAAACGGTATTTAAGGTCCTCTGGAGGCTATCTCATAGATTTGGTTAAAAGAAATACAGTTAGCGTGGTGTCTTTAATGTAATTCAAACTTTATTTAATCAACAAAATGAGAATTATCGTCATTTACTGATTATTGTGTATGAGATAAAGACGAACCCATTTTTTTTTTTCTGTTCTTGTTGCCCCTCTTTGTGTCTCTGGTTTCGATTGCTGTGCATTTAGGTTCTTTTTTTTTGTTTTTTTTCTAAACTGGAAAACACCGGGATTAACGACGGCCAGCTTGGCTTTGTTGCCACATTGTTTCGTGAGAGCTTCCCCCTTCGCCCCAATGACACGTCGTAGTTTCACCCTATCTGTTAAATCCAGCGTTTAGCAACGCTTTAATATTTGGTCAGAGAGCTTGCCATACGGTTACACTATGAAGTAACTACACTTCCGCGATGCCCCATTTTCTTTATTGCCCTTTGTCTTGTTTTTTACTGGCAAGCTGTGGCGCATATGCAAGGTTTTAATACAGTGCTTTCCCTCAATTTACCAGTGAACTGGAGATTTTTGTGGTTTTACCAGATGAATAGGAATTCACGTAAAAGGGGGAGGAGAAGAAGACGGCATTCTTCTTTCACTTCTTCTATGTGCACAAAGCTGCAAAACCCCCTCCGTCTCCAAAAACGAACATTAAAGCTCAAGTTATTTGCATGCCAGAATTTTCTTTTTTCTCCCCACCTTCTGCAGATGTAAAATAGTGTGTGTGTGTGTGTTACTGATTTAGGGGAGAGGAGTATAATACAGCCTCTGCAAATTTTCAATATTGTGTAACTTCCCCTTAAGACATTCTGATTGCAATTCTTGCAGCACTGTTTAAATTGATGACCATCAAAAGACTTCAGAAGTGACAGTTATGGGGGAAAAAAGACTAAGAGTTCCTTTTTCAAATATGTTTGCTGCACATTTGCATCGTCAGTTGTAGTTAAAGTGGGGTGTTTTTGTTTGTTTGTTTTTAACTGGAATTGATTATTTTTCTGTCTGATACACTTCTGGAAATCCCAAAATGTAACCTGGTCTTAAATTTTTAATTTAGGCTAATGTGCTAGATCAGTTTTAAAAATGATAAATGACTTTAATATCCTTAGTGAGCCTTTCCTTTCCTGAATTCAGTAAATTGATAAAACGATTTGTCTTCTGATTGTATGTTTAAGGTACATGGTGGTGTTTAAAGTTGGACTTTGAACCAGAAATGGATACTGAGAAGAGTGGTGAGGTTTTAGGTGCGTCAGAGACTCCACAGCAAGCGGAGACTGCAGTGGAAAAAGCAGCTGTGGAGACGCCAGTGGAATCCACAGAGCTTGAGAAGTCACCAGCTGCTGAGGAAGCAACTGGGAAGATGGCAGTACATGGTCAGGAAAGCGAGGTCGTGAAAGAAATGGAGGCGCTGAGTGTGACAGACAAGGTGGCGATGCCCACAGAAAAAGCTGATGCAGACTCTGTGCCTGGCGCAGCAGCGTCACAGCAACCAGAAGAGTCATCTGAAAAGAAAATCTCTGAACAGCAGCCAGAGAACAACCCAGAATCTTTGGCTTTGCAAACGCCCCTGGCAGAGAGCGCCCCTGAACCAGCGCCAGAGAAAGCGGCCGAATCTGTTCCAGAAATAAAAGTGCAAACATTACCTGACTCGGCCATGACACAGCAGCCAGTAGATACACAGCCACCGGGCCCAAAAGAGAAGGAACAAGCTGAGTCTGTGGGAGAACTGCAAAAAGCAATGGATACTGAGGCTGAAGGTGACTCCGGAGCTAAGCCTAAGGAGAAGGAAGAAGCCAAACCAGAAGAGACTGTTGTGGTGTCTGACACGTCTTCAGAAAAGCCAGCAGAAGCTGAAATGCTAAAGACTGAGGCTTCAGCAGAAGTTGGAAATGTGAGCCCTGAGTCAGAGCCTCAAAAAGAAGAGGATATCGTCCCAGCTTCTGGCTCTCTGTCTTTTGCCTTTTTAGAACAGGAGCAGACCAAAGATGCCCTCCGAATCTCTCGTACCCTTGTTGTCCTTAGAGGCCTTCCAGGGAGCGGTAAAACCTTTTTGGCACGTGCCATAGCCGACACCTACAAAGACCACTGCACCGTCATTAGTGCTGATGATTATGGTGTTAAACCTGAAAAACCAGAATCTAATGCAGAGGGCTACAAGGCACTGGATGAAGCTGTAGTTGCTCGTTGCACAGACGGAAACTCTTCCTCTGTGCTGATAGTGGTAGACGACACCAACCACACCCAGGATCGCCTGGCCCGTCTAGGAGAGATTGCAGAGGAGAACAATCTTGTTGCTATCTTTTCGGAGCCAAAAACTGAATGGAACAGAGATCTTGGACAGCTGACCAAGAAGAACAAGCGTGGCCTAGAGGAAGCCCATCTGGCAGCCATGAAAGGACCACTTGAAGAAGTGTCCCTTCCTCTTTACTTTGGCTGGTTCCTTCTGTCCTCTATCCAGGACAAGATTAAATGCACGTCAATGGACTTCCTGAAAACACTGGACACCTTGGAGGCCTTCAAGAAACATTTGATTGACTGTGAGTGTCTAATTTTTATTACCAAGTAACTGAACTCTCTTAATTAGGGGTGAAAACTTATTTCTTTCTTTTCCTTTTTTGTCATAAACAGTTTCAGGAAAAGCTGAGGAGGTGGACCTTGAGCAGTACTTTCAACCAACAGGAATTCTCCATTGCACTACGAAATTCTGTAACTATGGAAAAGCTGAGGGTGCCAAAGAATATGCAGAGAAACAGGCAAGAAACGATTCAATTTTCCCAGAAATGAAAGCATTATTCATTTACTTGTAATTGCTGAACTAACATTGAATACTAACCATAATTTCATTTAATTTGATCTTTTTGTATTTCCTCTCCTCTAGGCTGTAAAAGATTCCTATGGTTCCATCTTCGATCTGTCACTTGGTGCCCTCTTTGTAACCCCTCGCACATTTGGTGCCAGAGTGTCTCTCACTGAGGAACAGCTTCAGTTGTGGCCAGCTGATGCTGATGCTGAAAAGCAGGTGGAGTCGGTCCCCGCAGCTGCCTCACTGCCTCTGGGAAGCCGCGCCCATGTCACTCTGGGCTGCGCAGAGGGTGTCGAGCCCGTTCAGACGGGCATCGATCTGCTGGAAATCTTGACCCTGCAGCAGGAAGGCCAGCAGGGGGAGCAAGTTGAAGAGATGGAGCTCGGCACGCTGACCTATTACGGTACGGGAAAGTGGCTGCTCAACCTCAGAGAGCCAATTAGTGCCCCAGCCTGCTTCTCCAGCTTCTACGGGTGCAAGGAACCTGAGCCGGCCAAAAAAGACCACGAGAAGAAAAAGAAGCCAAAGTGTATGATCTTGTAAATGGCAAACATGGGATGTGTGAGCTAGGATGACTGGAATTAAACTTGGGCTTCTTCTGTGCAAAGTTTGTGTGTTAGTTTGGGGTTTCACTTATAGCCATCCTAAATCCACAAGTTGTGTGCCTTTTTTACCATTGATTTGCACCACAACCCAAGATGCCTTCAATCCCATTAGGCTTGTTGTTAACACGGTTCAGTATTTTCTTTTACAGATCAGTGCCAGAGGTTGCAGTACCTGGCTGTTTGAGGTCTTGTTAGCTGCAGTTTTACATAGTCTGCCCTCCTTCAGCTCCACTTATCACTTCTTTCTAGATTTCCTGTCTACATCAGTGTTTCTCACTAAACTCAGCTGTGATAAACTAGGTACTTTCATTGCATGCTATGATGTATTTACACATTACTGACCTGCTAAGAGTAGCTCTGCCACTTTAACAGAATTTGTCTGGTGTTTCCTTTGACGTAGTAGTGTCATTTCTGTGTGTTTGCGCAGCCTAGGAAGTAATGGTGACAATAACGTATGGGCCAAAGTTGCGTATTTGAATAAGTGTATTAGATTGAATGTCATTTTTAGAGAACCTTCCTAGTAAAAATCTTTGCACTGTGCATAGTTTGAGAGGGAGAATGCTGATGGCATTTTGTTTCTGCAGCTTGCACTTAGTACTTATCAAATGCTGTGAATCAAAGTCCATGTGTTGCAATTTTCTTTTTTTGTACTGCGCAATACTCATTCATTCTCTACAAAAAGCACTTCATGCATTGAATTACAATTTGTATCCTGTGATGGAACCTTCTGAAGGGCAAGTCCTACTTTGTGTCGCTCTTATGAATCACTATTTTTGCACTTGTTTTGTACACTTAATAAAAAGAACATGCTTTGCTCCAGTAATCTGTCTGGTTACTCTGGTTCCATGCATGCAAACTGAAAAAGTCATTATCTCCAGATGGTCGTGTTCTCACAGTGCTTGTAGTTGAGCACTCCAGCAGAGGGTGCTGTTGATTTCCCCATGCTGCCATTACACTTTGTTTTTGTTTGTGGTAAAGCGTTGCCTGCAAACCATTAATAGCTTGTCATTTAACGTTCAAGAACTAGCTTTAATACTTTGCAAATACTGCAAGAAGATATGAAACATTGCAATCACAGATTGGATTGCAATACTTGTCTGAACATTGGTGTACCTTGCACAAGAATCTGGCACAGTATACATGTTTCAAACTTCATAGACATGATGGCTGCCAAAAGTATTTCACCTGATGAAGCAAGTGCTCAGATGTAATCTGCATTTATAAGTTGACATGGTTAACACGTTTCAATAGTGTGGTATTTCATTTATCCTTCTATTACACCTTTTTTTTTTTTTTTAATCTATTAGTTGTGCATACTCTGTTACAATACAAATAATACTTCTGGTTGCACCCACCCCCCTCAGAAGCTGTGTATTGATTTTTTTTTTCCTTTTTTTCCCATGCCGCTATCTAAAGTGCGCTTACCCTTCACTGCACCTTTTGAGCTAAAAATAACTGACCGTGGACGGGTAAACTCAGCCATAACCCGGTGCTCTATATGTCATAAAGTTCACCTCTTAGTTCATTTTCTGTGCAAGACTGGATGTGCTGGTTGTGTTGGATCAAGCGATTTCCTCATTGGCTCAGGGTAGATAAAGAACAATGACAACCAATCAACGTCAGGGGTGCACGATCGCACTGTTTTCGTTCTCTGCCAGGTTTGTGAGAAAACCATTGATAGCTTCAGGTGCTCCCGGAAATCTTTCCTCTTATTGTTTCTAGTAATTATGCCTGCTTTTCCTGTGTAAGATTAATCTCTGTCGATGCTTCATATTTTAAAATGTTATTATAAATGTATTATTTAATTGTCTGATTATCTTCAAGTGCAGTATGAATAAAACTGCCCACTCACACATCCATCAATAAAGACAATAATATAGGAAAGATGCGCACGTGGGCTAAAAACGTTTAATATCAAAGCTATAGCTACAGAAGCAAAAAGATAAGCATTAAAAATTATGTATTAAAATTAAATTACATATATACAGTGTTACCAGTTTATTTGCCTCGAGTGCGTCTTCCGTAACTTAGTTGTAATATTTCTTACTGTTCATGAAGGCAGCAAAAGTGTACGTTATGGAAAGAGCCAATCAGAGCCCAGGAAACATCAGCTAAGCCTGTCAGCAGATAGGCGATGGAGACAAAACTGACTGGGAACCTCGTTCTCCCGCACCAGTGGTCACCGCAGGCGGCAAGAGTGGAGCAACACTGCCGAGGAAATTCACCCATCAGACCATAACAAACGTATACAGCTGCTGACGACATAAAAACAAAAAACAAGGTAAAATACGCCACTTTGTTACTTAAAAACGCGTCTGTGGTTTTTCTTTCTAACTTCCTTTAACTATTTGTCTATTGTTTTCTCTCTCTGTCTGATAAGAGAAGTTAAACTACTCAGTCCACAAACCACGTTTAACTTGTACTTTTCCTACATCCTGGTTTTTAGTAAGTTTGAGTAAGACTTTAGTGAGTAGTGATGTGGATGTTTGCCAGATAACTGCGAGGCTGTCTGACCGGTTTGTAAATGAATGAACCAGACTGACCAAATCCTTCCACTGAGGGATGTGTGACTCAATCAGTAACTCGGTCCTTTAACTGTGTCAGGAAGATTTTGTTGTAATAGTTAGTGGGGTTATAATGAAAGCTAAAAATTATACAATGACCTCCAACTTTGATATTGGATTGCATTCTTTTAAAACGGCTTTTTGTTTTGCTTCAGTTCTCCCTTCCCCATTCATCCATCACCCTTTGTTATTAATTTAGGTTATAGTGTGTAATCTGAACCAGTGTTTCTGTGGATCAGTGATATTTAACACCTTTGACAGGTCAGGTGCAACAGAGAAATGAGATGATGTATGTGACCCCCGATGAGCTTTGCTTGAACCACATTTGCTGGTCTGGACTCGGTGCTGTTGTGACTCAGAGACAGCAGTGATCAATAATGAGAAAGCTCCATGACAGTCCCATTAATCCGTTAAAGAAATAGCTGCCAGGTCCGCAGTGTAGCACGCAGAGAACTGCGAGCAGACGTCAGAGCTTTCAGCTTATTAAATCTCTTATAGCAACAGACTGAGCAGGTACTCCATCCCTGAAAGGTTACATGGAGAATCCAGAGCGTCATCAGTTTACCAACACACTGTTGGAGGGTCAACTACATCAGTCAGTGTATCAGAAGTGTATGACATAAACACAAGTGAAGGCATGCAGTTAAAATAACAACGCTTAAATAAAAAATTAAATTAAAAAAACTAAAAACTTCAATGATCTTAAAACAGATCAGATCTAATGGACACCAAGAAATGATGGTAAGAAAGCACATACGTAGATTTTCTCAGTAAAACTGAAATGTCTAACAAGTTCGAAATGGAAATGGTCAGAATTTCAGTAAGTTGAAGTTGAACCTAAAAAGAAAAAAAAAGCTAAGATCTAATGCCGCGCTTCTGCAAGATGTTCTGCACAGTATGCAAAGAAAAAAGCAAGTCTTCAGTGTGAGATTTTCTCCTGTTTAAAAATGAACAGCTGTCATCGGAGATGCGTTTGTTGATGCTGCAGAAGTACTGGTTTCCTTATATTTTTGCTGCTTCTACATTATTTCTCTCATTTTTAAGTCCTGAAGCAGTTCATGACTGTTCATATCAGCATATTTACTTTGCTGTGGTCTTGGTATTATGAAATCAGATGTGTCTGTGCATAATAGGTAGAACTGGCTGCTTATAAAACTCAAACACTGATGTCCTGTTTTGACCTCTGTTGACTCCAGTGGAGATGACCTCACTGAGTGAAACATGTGGCAAAAGTGTAAAGTTCACGCCCCACCCTTTAGCAGTAAAATTTTACAGATGTTATTACAGATGCCTGAATTTCTTACTTTACTTCCGTCACATTTTGTCAGTAAAGGAAAGCAGGTCCTGCATCCAAAGATTATTTCTTATCTTTGCTGCATATTTATTGTTTATAATCATCATATAATTCATCTTGCAACTGTAAATTTGTGAGGTGAGTTTATTTAGTCATTTCTCCTCCTGCTCTGCTGGAGCTTTTGTGTGGATCCGGTTGTTGAGCAAATAACTAACTGCCCATGACTTCATTAGTATGCAGATGAAACAAACCCATACTAATCACATTAGGGTTGGCTTTACTGTTCGTGTCCTGTCAGGTTGAAACAAACCTCATATGTGATTGTCCAGAAGGATAGAAGGCCTGATAGGGCCTCTAACCATGTTTCTTATTGCTTTACCGTTAAGTATGTCTGTTATTACTCACACTGAATATAAACCGCTGAGCTGTCTTTCAGTCATCTTGTTAGCAGACCATTTCTTGACAGTTCTGGGAGCACAGCAGTGCATTAGGGAACTCTTGCATAATTTTTTAGTTTAAAAAAACAACCCCCCCCCCCCCTCCCCAAAAAAAAAAGCATGCTTCAATGTAACATCTTGTGCTTAGTTTTGTTTCTATCCACCACATGTTTGCTTTTCTGTATCAACCCTTACTTCTCATCTGCATATCTCCTCATACATCTCTCTCTGTTTGTCTCACCCGAGCAGTCATGTCAGCCAAAGCCATCTCTGAGCAGACGGGAAAGGAGTTCCTCTACAAGTACATCTGCACATCAGCGGCCATCCAGAACAGGTTCCGCTATGCAAACGTGACACCTGAGACCAACTTTGACCGACTGGCTCAGGAGCACCCATGGCTGCTCACAGAGGTGAGGCAGGAGAAACATTTAGGGCGGTAATATATGTGGATGGTGAAGTAATATTTTATTTAGCTGACTGAACAGTCATCTTGTTATGTCTCTAATTTATAGACCATTGATCTCCAAAGCACAGTCTCTTTTGCTTGTGGAAAAGGATATCCTCTTTATAGGCACGATTACTTAGGCTGGCAGCTGAGCGCTCTCTTGGTGCTTCTTAGCTGAAATCACAGACAGAGGAGGAAACCATCAGTTCTGTTCCATACTTGGTGGAAATTGGGCAAAGTAAAAGCACAAGAAAAAAAGAAGACGTAGAAAAAATTAATATTTGCACCACCAGAAGCCAAATGTTGAGCTGGGTTTTGCATTTTTGCACAGGTTCTCCAGGCTTCCAGTTTGCTCTTCTGTTACGTACATAGACTGCTATCATATCGGTTGATTTAATTACTCTGTTGCTCATCTTGCTCGATGAAATGTCATTCTCTGTTTGCCTCCCTCTCTGCTGATGGATTTTATCTGGAAGGTATTAGGAGGATGCTTAGGGCAGATCCACAGTGATGTGTCCTGCTGCAGAATTGATTCAGAAATTGCATTAACTTTCACCCTCAGCCCTCTCCTCATTTGCTCACTGGCAAGCACCCAGATAGTAATGGCTCCATTGTCATAAGTCATTCTTTTCATCTGAAGTAAGAGGAACTCGGTGATGCCAGTAGGGGTTTTATGTAATTTTTCAATTGCATCGTATGGGATGGTTGGTAGATGAGAGATAATTTCTCAAATACATGGCACCTCATCGTTCAGGTACTAAATACTTGGGATTTCCAGAGCAGTAAGGAATTGTTTAGCAATCCTATAAAAAACATACCTGCAGTCTTGTGGTCTGAAATAAAATGAACTGAGGAAAACAGTGTGTGTTTTATCACTGCAACATGAATATGTCGGCCCCTATCCATGCCTTTTCCATTCATTAATTCACTTTGAAACATTTGGCTTAAACTGAAAGCAGAATTCATTCAGGACTGCAAATAACAGCCCCAGATTTTACCATTACTCTGCCAATTAATGCAGTGATTATGCATTCTACTGTTTAATAGATGTAGAAAGCATCATAAAATTCATGATTCATAAAT